TATATTCCAGCTCCTCATTGCAGATTTGCAGTATGGTGTACACACTTGTAATGAGGTATAAGAGAATCAACAGATAATAACAAGTGTTGATGAGGGTAAACAGAAATTGGAATCCTCCTGCGTTATTTGTGGGAATGAAATGGTGCTGCCACTATGGAAAACAGTCTGGCAGCTCCTCAAAAGGTTAAACATAGAACTACAATATGACCCAGCAATGCAGCTCACAGGTATATACACAAGAGGTATGAATACATACGGAGTCTCACAGCAGCATTTTCATAATAGCCCAAAAGTGGAAACAACTCAAATGTCCACTGGCTGGTGAATGGAAAAATAAAATGTGGTGTGTCCATAAGATGGAACAGCACTTGGCCATAAAAAGGAATGAAGTACTAACACATGCTACAATGTGGAGGAGTCTCAAAAACTCTACGTTAAGTGAGAAAAGCCAGTCACAAGAGCCCACATACTGTCGGCTCCCTTTTATTTGAAATGTCCAGAATAGGCAGATGTGTAGTGACAGAAAGTAGATTAGTGCTTGCCCAGGACTTGGAGGGGGAGCTAAGCCGAGAAACGGGAAGTGACTGATCACTGGTGCAAAATCTCTTGTTGGAGTGGTAAAAAGTGTTCTGAAATGGACTGTGGTGGTAGCCGCAGACCACCATGGGGGTCCTACAAACCACTGACTGGGACACATGAAGTAGGGGCGTTGTATGGTTTGTGAGTTAATATCTCAGAAAGCAGTTTTGGAGAAAAGAACAAATAAGTGAAAGAGAGAAAGAAAAGGCAAAATCTCAACATTAGACAAATCTAGACAAAAGAGGGGAGGGAGTACCACGAGTTCAGATGTTGGACCACACTCCCCCGGGTTCTGTCATCACCCTGTGTCACTCCGAGCCTGGTTCCTCATGTGGAGTCTTTTTCTTTTCAACTCACTCAGACGTAGCAGATGTCTTGCCCATTGGTGAACATCCCTCTGCATTGCAGCTTTGAAAAATGCCTTCTTGTTCTGACTAGTTATAGGCACCACGTGAGAAAAAGGCTATTTTTCCAACCCCCTTCTCTTCTTATAGAGGTAGCTGTGCTCAGTGCCAGCCTCACCTAAGTCTGTTTTTACATTGTCCTTTCCACTTTGTCACACACTCTCACTCATTTTTCAAAATGTGAACTTTTTTTAAAATGATACAGCCTGCCTGGGTTGTATTTATTTAGTTCTCCCTTTATAGGTTTTTCAAATTTATGAGTGTCATAAAACAAAAATGCCTAATCTACTTCAAGCTAACCTTGTCTTTTAATCACCAGAAATTTCATCCTCAGGTATACTTTTTTCTTGCTGCAATTTATTATTTTGGGACTGTTTCAAATTGTAATGGGAAACTCTGTGGTTGGCCTTGCCGATCAAGGTTATCAAAATTCAATGTGCAGGAGATAAATACTGATTTCACCAGTCTCAGCCAAACAGAATTAATATAAGACTCCACAGGACAAAGAAGGAAATTAAGATAATGGTGTTAGAACCATGGCAAAGAACACAATCTGAAGAAACCATGGAAAGGAAGAATAAATGGATTCTCGTCTCATTCATGTTACTTTAAGCTAAAGCTGACTTTAAGCAAGATGGTCCAGGTTTTAGTCTGGTTCCAGAAGCATCTTTGCTGCCTTTTCAGCCTGTCTCTTCCCACTTCTCCACCCCCCCATTGACTTCAAGTTCTCCCCCACCAACTGCAGTCCAGCCCAAACCTCCCAGTGCCATGGTACCTCAGCCTGCCGCCTCTTTCCTAATCAAGACTCTGTCCCATCTTCCTTCTTTTTGTCAAAACTGCCTGTGCTTTCCATAAGGATAGCCCATCTCGCTAAACCTTGCTGAATTGTGGGAAATAATCTACCAGACTATTCTAACTTAATAGCTAGGTCTCCCCAGGGGTGTTTGCATTAAAACAAGGGATCATACAAAGAATCCTTACAAGATCTTACCTAAGAGAATCAACAACCATAGAATTTGAAACATTGGGTAGAGATTATTGAATGAAGGAAAAGTCAACCTTGGTGGTGATGTGGCTGTTCTAAAATTATTTGAAAATGAGCCTCTCCCCACCTTCAAATTATACATTTCTCTCTGATTATTAATAACATTTGCCCAGGTGTTTATTTTTTAAGTCACTTTTCATTTGGCTTCTCTTTGTGCTAGTCTGTCATAAAGCATCTCTGAAATCAAATCATGACAACCCTGAAAGATGAAAACAATTTGATGAAGTCACGTGAAGGGAGCCAGTTAAGTGGCTTTAGCTTAGGTCCATCGGAGGTCAGGTTTAGTGTTCATTCCTGAGGAAACAAGAGCAAACTTTAAATCAGGAAAAAAAACCTAACAGTTTGCTTTCCAGCTTGCATTTCAGACACAGCCCTTAAGAGTTTGCATCATGGCGAGACATTGATTTCAGATGGTCAGATGTTTAAGGAGTTTGGGGTTCACATATCAGTTTATAGGGGTGATGCTTTGAATAGTCATTGGCAAAATGAGCTGTGCTTACATACCTGGATAAAAAATGATAAAGATTTCAGTTTTCTGCTTTCCTTTACCCCATAGATTTTTGCATCAAGATGGCAACAGTGTGAAGAGTCAATAACATGGAAAATGTTTTAAGTTACATTTCAGAGATTAGAAAGGGAGTTCTTACTGTCTTATAACTCTTCTCTTATTTTTATTCTCCAATGTGGACACCTCCTAAAGTAGAGGAAAATGCACAGGAATCTTATCATTCATTTTCATCATTTAAAATTATTTTGGAAAACCAACATGTGTGATGGTGACGTTTAACTGTTTTACACCCGTTTTCCCCCTCCAAATTTTAAATGTGGTCTATAAATAACAATGAGTAAGCCCTTCCACAGCTATTCCATTAACTGTCCATGACATTGACCTTTTTTTTTTTAGATTTACTTTCATAAGTACATCCACACGGGTTCTTTGAAAAATACTGACAATATTGTGTCTTACCTCATTAAATTTGCCCGCTTTCTCACCATGCAATGGGTTCTTATTCCTTCCTCTTTATTTTTGTGACTTCCTTTTTCTTTGACATACTTTTTGGTTCAGATACTTACTCCCAGCTCTCTGAGATGATTTGTAGCTAATTGTAGCAACCAATTTCCATTATTTATGAGTGTCATTGTCAGAATCCATTTGGAAGTCTGGCTGAGATAAAGCTGATTCCAGCTTCTGATAGGACCACAGCAATAAAGCCATTAACCACGCAGGTTAAAATGGGCTGAGTTGTAGATGCTGGTAATATTTTTACAACCAAATATTTACTATCTTGTGCATTATGTTTGATTCATTTCCTAGAATATTCAAGACGTTATTATTTTATTACCAGTAATTTATGACGCCCTCTTTTTTAAAATGTAATGTGTGTTATTTCTCAGACCAGCCAATTCACTTTAAAATGTTCATAGATGTGAGAGAAGGAGGTAGGGAAAATGAAAACTATGAGTAATATAAATGCTTAATATTCTTAAAAGGTTGACGTTACATGGTAGCAGTTAAATCAGTCTTGGTATCCTATTATTCTTTACCTGGATTTTGATTCTAGTTGGTACTTAAATCTCAGACTCTCCCACCCCAGTGAGCCAGGGAACAGAGGACCCACATGTGCATCCTCTATGCAAACATTTTTCTCTCCCTTCTCATCCCGAAGATCATAAAACATAGGTGGAATTTCAGGAATAAATACAGGACTGGAGAAGCCATCAATAATGGCAGTCATTTGAAAGTGTCACCTAATTTAAACACTTTTGCTTTAAGTTATTGCAGTGTCATGAGTTTTATTATGCTCAATTTATTAGTAAAAGCCTTCAGGGCTCACAACCATTTATTTTTCAGAGAACTTGATTTTATCATTAATTTTTAAATACATAATACTCCCACTTTATTTTTAGAGTGTACTTGATTTGCAAGAATTGGTTTACTCTGATCAATACAGATGTTTCCAGGTCTTCATTAAAGCCAAAAAGATCTAGAAGAAAGTCAGATGGTTATCAAAGCAAAAAGTCTGGAAAGTCAGATGTCTATGAATTTCTAAGACATTACACCCCAAAAGGTAGTGTGTGTTTGTACACACACACGATACATGTTTATATTGGTTAAGTTTTAGGTGGGAAAAATATAATAAAGACTGACCAGGCTCCTGTTTTTACTTATTGAGTAACTTATTCTAGAGGGCAATCCTTTCTCTTCCAAAGGGGTGACATCTGGGTGGGAAAGTCTGAATGTGAAGGATGAGAGCCAGGACCCAGGAAAGGATTCTGATAATTTCTGTTGCTTCGCAAGTCTGGTAAACACAAGCCCATCAGTGATGACAAATAACAAAGCCTTTTTCTGGGCTGAGTTTTCATGGTCCGGGCTGCTTCAGCTGCCCGTCTCTCTGGAGGTAAAATGGGTTGACAAAGGAGCTCTGAGCTGGGGGATGTGGAAAGTCAGCGGTGGCGCCCCGCCCCCTCCCCTAACTGGACCCATTTGACTACATGTCATGTGACACTAATGCAAACACCTGGTGCTGATAGCTGAAAAACCTGAATGCTTGACTGTTTGTTTTAGGGAGATTTTGTTTTTTAAAAAAAAACTAAAACTAAACATATACTCACTAGTTGTTATCTTTTTCTCCCCCTAATTAGGACAGAATTTTACCCTAAGGCAGTTAGGCGTTTGTGAACCAGCAACTCGAAGAGGACTGGCATTTTGTGCGGAAATGGGGCTCCCCCACAGAGGTTACTCTATCAGTGCAGGGTCAGATGCTGATACTGACAATGAAGCAGTGATGTCCCCAGAGCATGCCATGAGACTGTGGGGCAGGGGGGTCAAGTCAGGCCGCAGCTCCTGCCTGTCAAGTCGGTCCAACTCAGCCCTCACCCTGACAGACACGGAGCACGAGAACAAGTCGGACAGTGAAGGCGGTAAGTGGCTTTTTTTTTTTTTGGCTTTATAATGTTGGCATTCAGTGCTTCTGCCCGTTTTGGTTGATTTGGCTTTCTTCCTTCCTTCCTCCCATCTTTCCTTCTCTTTCTTTCTTTCTTCTTCCTTTCCTTGTATTTCAATGCAGAAATGTTCTTGAAGAATTTGCTTTTTTTTTTTATTTCCTGGAAAAAAAGTCAATATTCGGCATCAGATTGTTAAATTATGCAAGTGGTCTCTATTGTGTTAGCTATTGTTTTGAAAACCAGTTTAATCATGTATGGGGGTAAAAAAAAAGGTTGGCTTTGACTTATCTTGGACCACATCACCTGTTATCCTCTGCAGAACCGCAAAGCAAGTGGTGATCAAGTTTACCCCAGAGCCAACTTGCAATCAAAGATGTCTTTGTAGATTTCTCTTGAAAATATCTCAAAGAAGTTCCAGAATCTTAGAATGGATGAGTGAGCACACAGAATAGTTTAACAGGGCTCCAGTGACTGAAGAGCAAATTTGATCATGCTTTAAACTTCCCAGTTGATGAGAGCAATTGAAATCTTGGTAAAGAGAGGGAGTGTGGCCTTTGATGTGCTTTGGGGACTGGATTACTCTGCAATTAAATCCGTGCACAAAAATTGGATTTTAGAATTTCCAAATAGCAGCTTTATATACTGTAAGAAAAACGTCTTTAGAAATTACTGAGGCTTTTTTCTATGGCCAATACAGGATAATAAACAGTTAATTGGCATGCAATAATAGACTTAAAAGAGGGCTTAATTTTTAGGCAGCGCGGCTTCTGGGAGAAGTGGAGTGTCAGCACCAGTACACCGGACAACACAGTGACGTGTCTCCTTCAGTATTTACTGTTAACGGTGCGCTTGCTGCTTTGATTGAGTTATTAATGCTATGTGCATAGATGCATCAAAAAGCAAAGAGAAAATTAAAATGGAAAAATTGCGTTGCTCTTTGAAGAGAAAGGTGGTGTTTGACCAGCGATATTTCATTTTTATTATTTATTGAGCAACTTTGTCAGCTTCGCTTTGTGACAGGAAAACAAGTCCGTTGTCAGTTTTCGGTCTCAGCTAAGTCATGGTATGAAGTGGTGCTGAGTGCTTCCAACTGCTTATTGCTTGTTTTCTTGCTATTCGGGGCCGGGGGGGGGATGTCTACTGTAAACCAACTAAAACAATATCTTATGTAGAATACGCTAGTGCAGTAAACCAAAGTTAAAATCAACTAATAATGTGCACTCAATATATATTCATTTCGGAAGTGTCAGTTCTGGGTGGAGGCCGACTTCCACCCAACCCGCAACAGGAGAGAAGGGCAGTTCTTTTTGACAGAATGAGTCTTAGAATCAGACTACAACATTTTCCTGAGCTAATCCATTCACCTCAGTATAAAAATAACAAAAAAACAAAAAACAAACCAAACCTGTGTTTCTGTCAGTTTTCATTGTGGATTCAGAAGCCAGGTGAGATTTGGCGTAAACTTTGCTTTGCGTCCGTCCGCATCTTCAGGTTGCACTCTTCAAGCAATGGTAGGTACAACGGTAATATTTCAGTGTATTATTTGACATTTGATTTCTCTAAGACACATGACAAAAGTTATGATGGTTACAGAAGAGAAAAGAGGAGAGGGCAGCGGAACAGTGCGTTCAGTTCTGATTAACTGCGTCAGAGTCCCGTTGAATCGCTATCTGTTAAATACCGTTTCCTGCTGGGTCAGCTTGTCCTCTGCACACGTGACCTTTGTAGCCCCTCTTTCTCTCTCTCGCGATAAGTGCATCTTGTTATTGTATCCGAATTGGTAAAATATGAATTAATTTTACTATTTTTAAAATTGTACACGTGCTGAAACTGTCTCACAGTGAATTCCCGAACACGTCATTTTTTTTGTTTGCTTTCAGAAAATATAAAAGTTGCATCCTTTGCAGCCTTTAGCTAACAGGCTATGATACACAAATGACTGGGAAGAGAAGGAGGGGCCGGGGCGTTTCTCACACCACTGCCCCTCCCCATCTGCGTGGCTTGTTACTCACCGTAGTGGGGTCTTGTTGCCCCAGGAACCTCTGGTCCTTGTTCTCAGAGTGATGGAAAAGTGAGAAAAGTTGCATTTTTTCATTTCTCCAAGTGGTCGTTCTGAAGCGAAATGAAGAGAGGCAGGAAGAGGGTGTCGAGGGTCTTGCCTTGAAATTCAGAACATTTGGTTGCATTTGTTGAGAGTAAACAGGTCAGCCAAGTTAAGGGTATAAAGTGTCAAAAGCAATGTTTGTTGAGCTGGGCAAGTGATGACTTAAACTTGTGTTTACTGTTTCCCCGAGGTTTGGCTGTGGTTGTTTTTTTAAACAACGTTTTGATGGTCTAAGAACTCCAATTGAGGTCAACTTAAGGAAGAAAGCAAAAGAGGAAATAAAATAGATATGACCTCTTACTGAACACTGGCTAGTTCATAGATTCCGTGTGTATGTCCGTAGGACCAGTTCCGATTCATTTGTTCTGAATTTTCAGTGATTAGTCAGAAGGAGCGAGGTTCTACTTACAGCAATAAATAACATGAAGATCTGGGAAAGCAAAGTTTTCTGACACTTAGCAGACCTTATTTTGAATAGTGGAATTAAGTAAGAGTACTGGATGGCTTTTTTTAGATGTAAAAACACCATGTGTTTTTTTCTGAAGCTGGGTTATAGTAGAAACTAAAGTTGGTCATCACACACAGGGTCTTCTAACATCTTCATAAACAGTCTCCTCAAAACTATGACCTATTTTCACTATTATTACCATTTCTAGTCAAATATTTCTAACACAAAATTACTCAAATAATTCAGCTCAAGCGTTTTTAATTGCTCTCACTCTGAAAGATGATTGATTTTCCAGTTACATTTTCCTTTGACTTCCAATTATTTTAGTTGTCTAATTTCATTCATCTCTGTATCAGCTTGAGATGTGTCCTTAGAAGTTCTGTTGTATCTCTCTCTATAAATTAAAACAAGAGGGACTCGCGTGAAATAACTCACCAAGGTGAAACTAGCGTAGGCACCAGACGCTGGATTGTTTTCCCCGGGTTTAGCAGGGGAGTGTTGGCTGACTGTTTACATCATTTGAAATAACTGTGAATAAGGCTGTTTTCTTCTAAAAAAAAAAAAGTTATTCAACATTTGTGAAATTATGCAAGCCGAGTGCCTGATGTTCCAGTTATGACTTCAAAGAAGAGTTTAGCTACGAAAGGGATTAGATTTCATTTATTTATTGATAAAGAGGCCAACAGTTCAAGTTAAGAAGGCGCTGGAACCGCTGTGAGGCTAATGAAATTTTGATGGCCTGAGCATCCCGCGAGAGGGAGGAACATTCCGACCATGTCACACGTCTCCATGTTAGCGGAGATTCTAAACAAGTGATCAAATATATTCTTTGGCAAAACTAACTCTTCACCAACCATGGGGAGTTGAAGTTAAAAATTATTTTGAGGGGGGAAAAATGTTTACTGTCTGTTGAGTTTCATATTAAAGTCCAAATGTTAGTCTTGGTCCAAATTTAAAGATACAGGAGAAGGCCTTTCCTGACACGTACTGACAACCTCTAAGTCAACTGCAGCGCTCCAGGGCGAGCACTGGAGGGTCCGTGGTTTGTGACCGCCCATCAGCAGCCATGCTAGTGAGCTGTTGAAAGGTTACCAAATAAATGTGATGCGACACCTCCCTCAAAGGGAGGATGACCAGTATGTTCTGGATTGTTTAAGGCATCTGGAGTGTTTAACGCCCCCATCAAAGGGAGAATTGCCAGTATGTTCTGGATTGATGTGTTGTTGAAAGACCCCTGACTGAATTCCCACTCTCTAGCTTTGCAAATTACCTCATCTAAATTCCAAATATCTATATAAATGTCAGGAACAAAGCACTTTTTTTTTCCAAAACATCAACGTATAAGCTTAAGTGTTTCTTTGTGCATCTTTTCCCAGAAGGAGGCCAGTGTAGGCCATTGTCCTTTGTTGTCCAGTATCCTGAGAGGTGTCCGGATGCAGAGTCACACTGGTCAGGGTTTAACTCCTTGTGTTCAACCCCTAAGCCTCTTCGCTCCTGAGTCCCCCCGAGCTCAAGTCCCCAACTCTCCCACGTCTGCCTGGCTGCGTCATCAGCCCCGGAGATCTGGAGGTCTTTATCTTACTCCATCTTCCTGTCTCTGAAACTTCTTATGCCTTTTGGAAAGTGATGACCTTTGCTGTTAGACCAAGGAGGCTTCTAATGGTTCTCTCCTCTTCTACCTCATCCTGATGGAGACCTTGAGAGCCTCCATTGAGGGCAATAGTTGACAGCGTGTTGTTGGGGACAGACCACTTGGATTTGGATTGAGCCTGTCACCTCCCGGCTGTGTGACCTTGGGCAGTGACTTAACCTTCCAGGGCTACAGTCTTCCCAGGGGTAAAATACAGAAAAGCGTTAACGGTATACAGTCCTTATAGGGTCATTGGCAGGATTCAATGAGTCTTGGTATATAATGTGCTTAGAACAGTCGTGCCCGGCATCTAGTGAGTTCCAAATGAGGGTGTACTCCCATTATTCTTTGTAAATGGTGGGAAATTCTCTCTCCTTCTTAAGTGGCTGTGAAGATGAAGTTAGATAAACTTGTAAGTTAGTCACAATATCAAGTACCTACATAGGTTTGGCCCGCCGTAAATGTCCCCTCCCCCTCCGTGGGCATTAGTCCGGTATTTGTACATTTGGGGAGATGAGGGAGCACTAGCTAGTGGCCCCCCCAGAAGAGGCACCGGTAATTTGCATAACCTGGAATTTCTGTCACCATCTATTGACTCTTCTATTTTTCTCTAAAAGCCCGCATACTTTTTCATTCACTGTAATTAAATGAATGTACATTAAGTGGTGCTGAGAATGAGTCTGATGGCTGGAGACTTCAAAGATCTGAGCAAGCTTCTTCCCCTCCTGGCCAGAGGAAATTTCAAAAGTCGTGTTTCCCTCAAAGGCATGTTACTTAGACAGACAGTCAATTAA